TAAAAACCCTTTTTGTGAGTGAGCTCACATCAGAGTTGGGAGCGACGGTCGGGCCAAGGCCTCAGCAGCGTGGAGAGCTAATTAAAGTCCTCTTTCTGAGCCCCGAAGCACCGATTAAACTGCTCATTAGCCGCTGATTAGGAACGGATTGCTGCGTGTTTATGCAGCTAGAATGACTGGACGGCACCCAGCAACGCCGGCATCGCTCAGCCGCCACAGCTGTTGTGCAAGGCATCTTTAATAGCATCAGGATGACAATCTGCACAACAGCCTCCTTTCCGGGAGGTTTTTTATTTGTTTTGCAGTTTTGTAAACAAATAAATAATGCAGTCATCCAGTTTTAAACACCATCAAACAGCCTTACATTGTCGTCCGCATGCCTGCTCCTATTCTGCAGCTCGAGAGGAGCGAACGTCTGTTGCTTCAAGGGAATAATTGCCTCCTCTCTTCCTTTGTCCTCTCTTAACAGATTATTCTGTTTGATGTTCCACCTCCTGCATTATCAGCTTTTAGTTTGTTGGCATTGGCACACTGGGTGGTATTTGGCAATGTCTATCATTTGATGTGGAACTACGTTAATATGTACTGGAGCCCTTTGAGGAGCGCTTCCCTTCTGAGCCGCCTGCCTGTTCTGAGCCAAACGTGCACTTTGACCACTCTTTGGTTCGGGAGCAGGAGACACACTCAGGAGTCATTTTCCATCTTTGTGCAGTGTTTTAACTGCAGTGTTGTGCTTTTCTTCATTTTAATATCATTGGAAGGTTCCCTTCTAAAAGGACTTACAAGCTTTTTTGAACATTATAATTAAAGTTAATTTACAATAATCACATTAAAAATGACTTAAGTCATCATTCTGAAAGGAAAGTGCTCCTGAGACAAGAAAAGAGTCCGACAAAATAGTCACACTTGCTCCGTGTAAATTTTTGTAATTCAAGTTGTAAATACAAAAGCAAATGGCTGAAACTGTTCAAACACTGTTGTCTGGACTACAGACACCGTGAGAGAAAGGACAACAAGACACATTTACCACTGATTTTTCTTTGTTAACAACTGAATCTGGTTCCTAATCTTCAGAGTGGATTGTGTTTGGAATCCAGGCCTGTTTGCATTCATGTGACAGTCTTCTTCTAAGTGGTCACAGGGGAGCGCAGGGAAGCAGCCTGCTGTCACACCCTCAGCCTCATCCAGGAGCTCCTCCCTCGGCCCACGTGTGCGTGCTCTTCATCTCGTATCTGGCCGCGTTGCAGTCAGTAGAGAGCCTTGTTTGTTTAATCGAAACACTTTTGCAGATGTCTGTCTCTCGGTGCGTCTGGCCTCCTCGACCCGAATCCTGCGTGGCTCCGTGGCGCCGTGCGAACTTGGACTGGAGTCCCGCTCGCTTTCCTGCCCAAAGCGACACTCCGACAAGCTGGTGACACGGCGCCCCAATTAGAAATTAGCAGAAGAGCTGCTACTGAAGAAGGACTTGATTTGCAGCAAAAACAACACCCCAATTATAATTCTGGAGGAGTTTGTGTGTGTTTTTGTGCTTGTAATGTGCCACAATCAGCAGACTAGCAACAAACGGAGGCGAAGGATGATCGTAAACCTGAGGTTCACACATACTTAATAGTTGAACAACATACATATTCAATTACAGCGGATTTTATGCAAGGTAGGATTTATAATTTATTATAGGATTTAATTTTTGATTTAAAAGTTGTGAAAAAGAGATGAACAATCTTTCAACTTTTGATTCCCCATCAATGCAGATTAGCATTGTTACGGAGCTCCACTTTCCCGTGTTGGTTTTTCCTCATATCGCAAACAAATCACAAAGGACTGAAACAGTCTGAGGAGTACCGTCATATTTATAGTTACAGTAGTTACAGTTTATTCTAATTTGCTGAGAGCTGCTAGAGAATTGTGTTCTACAAAGAGGATAGAAATATCCATCCTAATCTTACAAAATGGTCCAAATGTTCCCCATCTTTGGCCACAAGTAGTTTTACTGCACAAATCTCTAAAACCGGGATTCCAGACAAGACAAGAGAATAACTGCACGAGCGATATCAGCTGAATATTAATATAAATTTGATGTTCTGCTAATGTTGACATGAGGGTGAGCAACCCGGATCAATCTGTGTTTTCTAATCACTGTGGTCATCGGATCCAAGCAAACATCCTCCCCAGTCGTTAGCCGGAGAACGTCGTCGGTTCGATGGCCGCAGAAAACATCAATGTGACCTAATAATTGGAGTTGTGCCCATCGGGGGAAGCAATTAAACTGTTACTTTCTTTGTTCACAGATGCCTTCGGCAGCGAGTAATCGGACATGACAGCTCAGTACAGAATCCGTTATCATTCGCGAATCTTCATTTCAAATGAAGCCTTAGCCATCAGCTTGGCGAACACAGACGGAATCTGTGCGATTCAGGCGGCGCCGAGGCCGCGTGCATTATTGAGGAGCCTCCTAGAGAGCGTCTCCACGGGATCAGAAGCTATGAAAACTTTAGTGAGTTCAAAACCTCTTTACAAACAAGACATACCATAATATCCATGATAAAAAAAGGTTATATCTGCCATATATATATCTATCTATTTGAATAATGTGAGTGTCATAATAAAGGGAAAACTTTAGTCCAGAAGTGGAAATGTCCGTGTTGCAGGTCAGGAGAAAATAAAGATGGCACACTGCAAAAATGAAAAAGTTCCTTTGCCAGAAGTAAAAAAAACTTGATTATCCCTTCAGAATGAAAATATTCTTGCACAAAACCTCTACGAGATAATAACTCAATATGTGCACAACATTCTCTCCGCAAATGTTGATTTTAATAACGTTTTTGGGGATAATTGTGTTCCAAACTGTGCCATTCGCATTCTGTCAAGTACCAAACTATTTATTTCACTTTATTTCTACATGACTAATAGTGGCCAATACATATCATACATAAGTGTGGGATTTTTTTTGTATTTTAACTTAAAAAAAATTCTGCTGTTTAATTTGACGATCATTTTCTTTGGTGATTAGTTAATTGTAAGACGCAGTTACCTTCCCTCAGCAGCACAGATGACTGAACCTTCAGAAGCTAAACCAACACACGCTCCAGTTCTTAGATCGCGCTGTCAAAAGTTGAAATTGAACTTAGATGGTGACATGTTATCATTCCCGTCTCCATCTTCTTCCCATCTGCATTTGGTTCCATCTTCTAAGTGTCTCGTACATACCTGAATACTTGCAAACCGAGAGGATAAATAGCAACGTCGCTCTTCTTTCACTCCTCCTACGACCGTCTTTCCAGCAGAAAGAAATGCTCTATTGTGTCGCCTTTGCTCATTTCCTCCCTTTATCAACTTCAATATTCTACGCAAGGATAAATGTTACATTTGTGTCATAAAGGAACTATTTTTTTCAATAATTGCTAATTCGTCCTTTTGAGAATACTCAAATATTATGGTCAAGACGAGGTGCACATTCTGGAACCTCTGGATTTTGAGTCATGCATATTTGATGTAAGCAACTGTCTGTTATGGTAAACAGCAGAGTGCTTTCCCAGCCGCTGAGTGAAGCATCTAAATGTAGACATCACTGTGAACTGCAGTAACAAACAACATTATTGTAAAGTTAACAGTAGTGCTTTCTCCTAAGGCCCTTGTGAGAAATGCTAGTTAATAGATAATAAGGCCCTTTGCAGTGCTTATACGGGGAGTTAGGCATCATTATGCTAATATAGCTAATATATATTGTGTCATTTGTACAAATTTAGAAATCCCCAGTGACGTTTTGGCCATCTGTTCACTGAATCATACTTGACATTTCAATTTTGGATTCACTAGTCGTTTTTTCTGGGTCTTCTTCTTCGGCGTCTTTCTTGTCGTCTGTGACAACATTCAACGCTTTAGTGAGGAGTGATCAGAGGTCACTTAATCAAACTCCCTAAATATTGTGACTTACTAAGTCAAGACTGCTAACTATCCAGCAAACTTCCAATTATTTGATGAAAATGGTCAGTTGCTTTACAAAAGTGGACTTGACTTTCCATAGTTAAGAAATAGAAGATGGGAGATTATTACAGAATATATTTTTTCTGGTCCATCTCCAAATGAAGCTCTTAGATCAATGAGATAAACCGTTGGTTCCTTGTTCGACTGCAATTGTATAATTCTGTGGCCGACTTTGCTGCAGAGATATTGCTGACATGCAGGATCACACCACTTGAATTTAGTGGGGAAGTGGAAGGTCATTGAAGCCAAAAGATACGACGATCAATAATACAAAAATAACACACAGATATAATAAAGTAGTATTTTTTTATTTATTTTTATTTTTATGCTCAGCAATAAAGTCACTTATCCGACCCCAAAATACAGCCTTGTGGCACTCTTAATCAATAAATAATGAAAACCTTTTGATCGTATTATTTAGTAATGATAAACTAAATAAAACTAAGTTTTCTACAGTCAAGTGGGGCAGCGCATGTTTATTCGTACCAAATGATTCCAAAAACTGACACTCAAAATTTGAGGACAACTGTGCAAACCTGTGGCGCCAGACGTCTCTTAGAGTGAGGGCAAAGATAATATTTGGATATGCTGAAAAGATCCCTGTTCAGGCCACCGGCTTACAGATTTTGTTCCTCGCATTTACAGTCTCAGCGTAATCCTCCTGCTCCCCTCCAGTTTTTCCCACTCTCCGTCTCTGATGTCTCTCAGCCATTATCTAATCAGCTGTTGGAAGGTAACCAAAGCGTTGGACACTTTTACAGATCTTGCCAGGAACAGGCAGCACTCCTGGTATGGAGTTGGCTTACCAGTCGTCCACTTCAGCACGGTGAGTGAAGGTAGTATTTGAGATCCGTGAAGATCATCGTGTCGAGTGTAACAGCCATTTAATGCCCCTTACTGCCCCTTACTGCATTACTAACCAACACATAGAATGAAACTGCTGATTATGCCTCGTGCCGAACCAATCTCTAATTTGTCTCTTTGTCTCTCGCTGTGTGTGTGTTTGTTCTACTCACTCGACCGTGTCCTCCCAGCTGCACCAGTGTCTCTCGCCCAGCTCGTGCATGTCCAGTCTGAATTTGGCCAGGCACAGGTCCTCAATTCCAAATTCATAGTGGGACCCACACCCAAGGGCCGACACACACTGAGACACTGTTGAAATGATGGGAAGGGGGTAAAGGAAACGGAGAAAACAGAAAGATATTCCGTAAACAGAAATGTCAAAAAAGTGTGAGTAGCTGAGTACACACACATTTGATCCCTTGTTAATCTGTGTACAGTGTGTGTGTGTGTGTGTGTGTGTGTGTGTCCGTGCATGCAGGACAGGCTGCATTGACGATCGGTACCATTGCAAAGACCCCAAAACAACACGCATACTGAATAATATTGCACTGTGAGTCCCGTCAGGGTTTTTTTCCCCCGTTTTGTGAACGAGCGCGAGAATGTTTAAGATGTTGGGGAGGAAGTTTTGGTTTATTAATTAAAATGTCTTATAAGATAATGGCAGGTTGTGATGGGAACTAAAATGTGTTTTCTTTGTCAGAGTTAGACGAGAATATCCCCCAACCGAACGTATTTCATGGAGCCAATTGGCTTAACTTAGCACACAGAGCCTGAACAGAAGGGAACCATGTCCATAAACTGCTCTTTAGCAGTCTCTGCCGCATGATGGATCATAGACATCCTGCCTGACAGGAAGCAGGACATGAGACTAGAAAAGCCTGTCAGCCGCCCAGCACCATCAGCAACAGCTGCACCTCCAGCCACCAGTCCGTCGGGCTCCTGGTGGGGGCGAGTCTGCCTACACACTCACTGCGTCTCCCTCATCCTGCACTGCAAGGACAATTGTTCAGCAAACGTATTACACAATTTTAAGAAACAATAACCCAAATAGCGCCCTCTTGTTTGGCCGTCAATCTTCCGACGAGCTTGTTTTTTTAGGTCCTTCCTTCCTTCCTTTCATAGGTAGCTAGTTTTAAATTATAGCTTGCTCAAATTAACAAAGCAGATGTGATGTTTGTACAAAATTAAATTTGTTTGGATGTAAAAAAAAATCTTTTAAACATACTATTAAAGGACTTCATTAGCCTGTCACATCTTAACCCCCCATCATCATCTCTGATTACTTCTTCCTAACTCTCCACCTCCTTTTTCCCTGCAGCATTGACTCATTTTCAGTGGCTTGTTTTTCTCCCACAGCACTCCTCTCCCGCTCTCGTTTTCTCTATAACCTGCCGTGTCTCATTGAATCTGCATACATCGACTTACATCCGCATTCATCCCTCCTGTGGCGGCGTCTGTCTCTCTCTCTCGTCTTTGAGCCCCTCTCACTCATTCAGAATCATTTATGTCCACAGTCACACGTGCAAATTGTTTAATGCATGTGCATCGTGGCGCAGTGCAGAAGGGAGTTGGAAACAGATGTATAATGAGGGTCCAGCTAGTGTGAGAGAGGTTTTCAGAGGGTCGGTTTAGGGTTTGATCGGATTCTACTGCGATTCATTCGCTTTCGCTGTCATCAAAGATGCCAACAGTGTTCTCCGGTGTCAAAGGGCCGCTGTGTGTGCACCCCGACATCCTCCCCGAGACTTTGCCGTGGTCAAACAATTTCACTCCACGTCTGCCTTTGCTGCTGTGCACAAGACGACCACACGTTGATCCGTCTTAAGGAGACAGAATGTTACCTGGTAAGGAACCTCTGTCGTGTTTAGGGATAGTGAACGTATTTTAAACGCTCAACTAAAACAACTATTTAATACAATACAGGTTTGAAAAATAAAATCAGAAGATAATGAGACATTTGTGTCAAACTGCACTCGTAACTTTCTCCCATTATAAAACTTTTACGACATGTTTCCCCCAGAAGGAGCAGGTGACAAATAACCTGTAACGTACAGAAGGGAAATCTATTTATCTCAACATTTTCCTTCACAGTGTGGAGCCGTGTTTCCAACATTCTACAAGAAACAGTTTAACTTTACTTTGCCAGCTTTCTCAACACGCTTGTACACAAATGCTTTGCTAAAAGATGCACAGGAAGCAGCATCATAGCCAAGCACTTTTTATTAGGGTGTCTGCAAACAAACTAAGTGGCTCAGTAAGTGAACATGTCTGTGGCTGCCGGTTGTGCGCAAACTTCACATTTATCCATCAGCAGTTGAATGGAAAAACACATTTTGTGTTGCAAAGAAAAACATGCAGCCATGTAATCTTTCCTCCCTTGACAAAATGTTTTCTTTGCTTCGCTCCTAATCAAACCAATGTTATGTAAGCAGCTCGCGGCGAGGCAGAACATAATAAATCCAGAGCAAAGGTCAACATTTAGAGAAGAGTTTTTCATTTTGTCTTGCTTATAATAAATCGATTTGGAGCTGTAAAAGAATACTGAGATCAGGGAGCATGTGCAGTCTGCGCTGTGCAACCTGCTCAACCTGGACTCGCTGTTTGTCACGCAGCTCGTTAGGATTAGGCAATGAAAGCTCCAATGTTAAAGAAAGCATCGTGTTGTGTTTGTGAGTCGTGCTGTAGCGAATATTTACATTTTTTGACCTTGCCTCCTAAAGAGAACATCCTGCCTCAACATAAGTGGCATCACTGCGTGGCTCCACTCAGCTCCACCAGATCATTTGGGATTTCCATTAGCAGAAGTTGTTCCGAGCCTGATGAGCTGACACTTGGTGGTTTGTAATAGCTCAGACGGGATGGTCACTATAGCACGACACATTACATTACATGTCATTTAGCTCAGTGGTCCCCAACCACCGGGCCGCGGACCGGTACCACAGAAAGCTTGTATATATTTTTTTTGTGAAAAATGTTTTATTTTGAAAATTGACCGGATCTTCTCCTAATTATGTGCGCTCGTCCCGCTGACAGATTCCCCATGCGTCACCAGGCGTTTTTCTTCACGTTTACAACTTTCCCCTTACAGTGGACGGCAGTTTCGCCCACCAGCGAACACAGAGCGCGCAACTACTACATACCCCCCCCCCCCCCCTACCCCGTCGGACCTTCTCGACCGGTCCGCGAAATATTGTCTGACATGAAAACGGTCCGTGAGGTAAAAAAAAAGGTTGGGGACCACTGATTTAGCTGATGCTTTTACCCAAAGCGACTTACAATAAGTCACACGACATCCTGCGCAGTGCAGCGGAGCTTTGGAGCGGAAGGAAGACGTGCTATGAGACACTCCATGAACTAGACCTGATCAGACACCATCAAGTCCGTTGCCGTACACACACGCGTGCTCCTGCTCAGCTTGTCTGGTTAAATAATCTGGTGTGTGTCCAAGATGGGACAGGACTGCCTCTTTATCATCATCATCCAAGTTCCTAAACTCAGAAAGAAACTAAACTAAGAGCCTCTCCTTAGGCCAGACGCATCGCCGCATTGATTCCTTCCTCACGTCGCCCTCCCGAGCACTTCAAAGCCCGTATTTGCATATTCAACATGTTGGCGCATTTTCACGCGCAGGCTCTCCTATCTGAACGCCGAGCTTGACAGCTGCTGATCTTCTGCCTCTGCATCGCACTGCGGGGCCGTTACTCGCAATCATATCTGGAGCTTTTCCAGGCAACAGCGCCCGAGGTCATAAAAGGTTGAGATACTGTGAAATAAAGAGCACAAGCACAGGATGTTAAAGACTCAACTACCTATAATGAAATGAAGATGCCGAGGCCGGTGAAACCAAGCTGTAAATGTATGAGGCTGTTCGTCTGACTTACAGTAACTCGATGCAAATGGCGTCAGCTGATCGTTGCACAAGCTCTTCAAAGGTTGTTAACATGGAAAGGTATTCTCTTTACAGCTCGGGAATATGTGTAATGGGATCAGATGACTTTCTATTGAACATCTATTTCAGTAACTTCAACACTTTTAGTGTGAACTGGATGTACAAAGAACCTTTCGACGTGTGCGTGTGTGTTAGGGAGACTGGAAGATATTAAAAATCTAAAATGTTCCTTTACAGCATCCCACAGTAGCGGCTGTGGCAGCGAGCCGCCTCCTGAGAGGAAACTGCAAGTCTCAGTGTACGGCTTCACGATGCCTTGATTGGAAATGCTTCAGTGGTGGTCCGTACAGCAGACACGTCCTCTATGAAGACGTTACATTTCATTCCCCTCCTCACTTCTCATCTCAATCCTGTACATTTTGTCGCCGACAAACCCTTTCACTCCAAATCCTTTCACTCCAAATCCCATCCGGACCTTGAGTCCTTATTTCCCCTGCCGATTATTACACAGATTCTACCTAAATAACTTAAGAGAGAGGCCACCATTTGAATGTGAAGGGGCTTCGGCTGTACACACCCACCTGCGATACTTTAGCCTCATTTTGTTAAAACACGTGTCAATATTGCAACAGTTTGTTCATCAGCCATTTCGTGATTCAAGGACTAAAGTACCATGTCAATGCTCTTCTGGTCAGCACTTGGATATGTGTGCAGACTGTAATTTCGTTCATTGACATTCCAAGCATCCACCTTGTGTCGATATCAATTTCTATCTAACACATTCGGCTGCATTACACCTCGACCGGCTGTGGCCCTTTTGTCCTCCAGTCAGAAGACTGTGGTTGGATCTGATGTGTCCCTGTGAGAGACACTGATGGCGGCCCCTGAAGCCACCGCCATCAGTGTATAAATGGGTGTGGGCGTGTGTGACATGGGGGGGGTTAAAAGCACTTTAAGTGGTCAGAAGACAAGAAATGAAAGTCCATTAACCCGTCCATTACCAACCTGTGACAGATTAACTACAGCCATTTATATAGTTTCACCGGTCAGGTTAACATTGTGGTCGTCAAGTTAATGGGACACACTGACAAAACTCACAAAGCCGCGGGTTAGCCAAACTATTGGGAAAGAGCTATTATCGGTACTGTCCAATTCCAAAAGGCTCTCGCTTTAAAGCCGCCACTGGAACGACCCAAAATCCACTCGTTGACTTTATTCAGGGCAGCGCATTTAGGAACCTATTCATTATCGATTAAGCAGTGAACGCTGTGCAGATCCACTGAGCCGCCTCATCAATGATTGACGGTGAACCCTCGGTGTCAGCTGTCCCGGCATCAGGTTCAGCGGCGTGGCAGATTGTTGAGTCACGGATGAGCCGTCCAGTTTGGAAGTGACAAACTGGCAGATGCTTTTCTGTGAG